CCATTCTGTCCCCCTCTGATCCTTGGGGCTCCCTGTGGAAAGAGCCAGCTTGAGACCGGACCACTCCACAGGGACACACACCAGGTGACTTCAGTATCTGGCTGGCTTCTAAGTGCCTCACCCTTAAGTATGAACGGACAGAACCAGGAACGACAGACAACTGAGAAACGCCTGCTACAGGACAAGAGAGAGCCCAAAATAAATGAACAGGAAAAAAAAAAGAACTGGAAGGCAACAGAATAATCGTGATGACAATTAATAGTATCAGAGAGAGCTATAAGGGGGGCTATGATGGTCCTAAGACAAAAACAACATAAAATAAAAAAAGAAAAATCAGATGATATGAAGGAATTCTTGGAAATTAAAAAAACACAACAGCAAAGGTTCAAAAGTCCAGAATAGGGATTAAAGAGAATACTGATAAAATCTCCCAGAAAGCAGAATAAAAAGACAGAGGTGGACAGCTGGGAAGACAAGGTGTCAAAGCAGGTGGCTGTGTCCAGCATCTGGTTAATAGGAGTTCCAGAAAGAGAGGACAGAGACAGTGGAGGATAAGATATTGAGGAAATAATATAAAAACAATCCCGCCCATCCCCAAACCGAAGATGAATACAGGTTTCCAGACCAAAGCACCCACTGAATACAAAGAATGATGACTTTATAAAGACCCATATGAGGGCAAAGCCCCTGAGACCTCAGATCAAGAGGGACAAAGAGGAGATCCTAAAAGGTCCCACTGTTGAGGGACGGTCTTGGGAATGTCACATACAATGGCTAGGACAACAGACTTTCCCAGAGCAACACCTTTCATATTCCGTGAGAAATCTTCCTCCTCTATTTCTACATCTAGTCAAACTATTCATCAGATATGAAGGTAGAATAGAGACTTTTTCAGACATGCCAGGACCTACACACTTTACTTCTCATATGCATTTTCTCTGGATTTACTGCCGGATGTTCTCCAAGGCAACGATGATGTAAAACATAAAAACAGGAAGACTCAGGATCTGGGAAACAGAGGATCCCATGCAGAGCTGGGGTGAAGGAAAGACCCCAACGTGGAAGGGTGTCACTGGGTGAGGCTCTGCACGGGCATGGGAGAATGGGGGCTGGAGGTGTCCAGGAGGGAGGTCTCAGAAAACAGCAGCAGCACCAAGACCAACCAGAATTGAACCAAAGAGAGGAATCGAAGAATTGCCTGATGTGTTTGGAAATTAATCTTGGTAGAAGTTTGGGAAATTATAGAAGCCTTTGAAAAAAAAGTGATGGGTGCATAGAAACTGAGCAAGTAAAATCAAGGCAATTATTCCCTCTGGGTAAAACAACTGGCTGTCTAAAACAGGAACCACAACCAGAGGCTACTACTTAGATTAGTCATGGTAATGTCATGCTGATGACTATGGCTTTAACCCAGAATCGAGTCATTGCCATACTGAGAAAATGGGAAAAGGGAAAGAGTAGGTGATGGTATGGGAATTCTCACCCTAATACTCACCCATCTTAACAGAAATTCAATAAATCTAAAAATGGATACATCAAGAAATAACATCCTGTCTGTGTCAATTATTTAGACACAGAGAGGCAAATACTAGAAGAAACAGCTACAATCGTGGCAAGTATAGCAGGACTTGGGGGGAGGGGACTCTTTCATCATAAGCCTCATAGAACCATTTGACTTTTAAACTACATCATATATGACTTTGATAGAACTAAATATTAATACTTTAAAAAGTGAATGAAATTGGACTTTGAAGAAGCAAAACTAAGTGGCATGTTTTACCTGGGTTAACTTGGATTCTCATACGTGGTAAGAATTATTCTCTAAGAAATAGGGAGGGGCTTGATATTAAACCTATGCCTGGTAAACCCAAGCCTGCGGTTGGGTCGTGCACCATGGCAGGTTCCCTGGGTCTGGCCCCGCCCTCTGGGCTCTCCTAGGCCTCAAAAGTGCCAGGGGGCAGCGTGGGTGGCACAAAGAAAATCACAGCCAAGAGACAACTCAGGTCTGAATCCGACTAATTGTAATGTACCTGGCACGGTGCTAAGAACCCATGCTTTATCTCATTGAACCTTCCCAAGGAGGTTGTGGGCAGGGTCTTATACTATCCTTGCTCAGTCAAAGAGGAAAATGAAGCTTGGAGACACTGCAGAACATGTCCACATTTATTGCATTTACTGAGTGGCAGAGGTGGGAAGGGAACCCGAGTCTGCCCCAGGGCAAAAGCTACACTCCTAACTGCTCAGCTTCATGCCTCCCATTACTGTCACATATTGACACACTTACACGGCCTGTCCAACCAATTCCAGGTCACTTAACTTCTCTCGACATCAGCTTCTTCCCCTGGAAAACCCGGGGTTCTCGCTCTACTTCATTCAGAGTTTCTGAGGTTCAAATAAGTTACTACAGGTGCAATTTTTTTTTTTTTTTTACAAATTCTAAGCGTCAATTTGTGCAAATGCAAAAATTATTCTTGAACAAGAGAGAAAGACAAGTGGCGTCGTGATGCTATTTGGGCTCCCATATAAACTTGAGAGAAGCCCCCCCCCCCCCCATTTTTTGTGGTCATTCGTGGGCCCAAGTTCAAGGGAAGATCGTGAGAGGAGAGAGCTGGGTTCTGGGATGCCACTCGGCAGGCAGGCTGAGGCTGTTGGCACCTTGATCTTAAATGCGGCTGGCGACAAAGCGATCGTCACCTCCACTTGGGGAATCTGTAATATTCAGTTCTGAGATTTATTCTCCTTTTGTGTCTTCCCTGAATACCAGAGTCCTTGCAGCATGCACGATGTTCAGAAGCCTTGTCACCTTCAGCTCACATGTGGGACAAGACAGAACTGAACACCTCCTCTCTCTCCCCCTTTACCCAGGTACCTGCACAGGTACGCTTTGGAGCCACCGTTCACTTGAGAGGCTCAAGAGCGATTTCATGGCTTCAAGCGACTTTTCTTCCACTTACTTCACTGCCCAAGGCTGCCACCTGGTGGACAGTGCTCACTTTTCATTTCTGAACTTTTTCAAAGTGCTTTTCCCCATTCATTCAAAAGACCATCAGACACTCTTAGCCTGTGAGGTACCTATGGTTGGTATTACTATTAATAGTTCCGCTTTAGAACAAGAAAATGGGTGCTTAGGGAGAGGAAGGAATTTGCAAGTACCTGGAACTGCATTTAGTGTCGTTTCCCTCCATTCAGCAAAACCCCCAAAATACTGTCATCGGAGGGCTCCGGGTTTGAGTCCAGATTAAGTCCTGGCTCAGTAACTGCCACCGAGTGAGGTCTTTTCACAGAACTGAGTTTGATCATTACCAGGCCCTCCGTTACTTTGAACATCTGCACTTGGTAGAACAATTCTGTGCAACGAACACGCTTGAGTCCTTCCAGAAGGAAAAGTGATACCATTTCAACTCCTGCCTGTGTGTTTTAAGGGTTAGGGGGTTGCTGCAATCCCCCAAAACCTGAGTTTAGTTTAGTTAAATATGAAAGTACAGGCAGTGGGATCTTCTCAGGCTCCTTTGAGTAGCTCCATCCACCACTCTGCGAACAGGCGTACAGGGACAGTCTGAGCCCAGGCACGGCACAGCCCAAGCCATTCACTGGGTATGTGGCCGCAGGTGAATACCCGCTTGCCTCAACTTCCTTGTTGGGAATAAAAAGCAGTATTCACCTCAAAATGTGTGAAGACGCAATCAGACAACGGACATCAAGTGCTCGGCAGGTGACGAGACTACACCTTACGTGAGTTTCATGGTATTAGCCGTTCTTCTGTTGTGGCTAAAAATCAGCCACGCATGGGACGTCACGTGCAGGTGGGGCAGCCAGTGGGGTGGGTGTTTCCTTTAAATAGGTTCTCCTAGTCGTGGCTCTTAAATGGGTGGTGTTCTGGAAGCTCCTCTCCCCAGGGAGAGAGAGAGTGCTGGAGAGGTGTGGGGGCAGTTCGGGTTATCCCACGAAAGGAAACACTCCAAGCACATGGGCCAGTCGGATACAGCGCAAGGGACTGTCCCACTCAATTAACCCTTTGCACTCGCTTGCTTTTTTCTCGATTCCTTGATTCTACTCGGGATTTAATTTTTTAAATACCCCAGATTTTACAAAGCACGGCAGTAGAATAAAAAAACTGGAGTTTCTTTTCATACAAACTTATTTGGATTTTTTTATGTTTCAAATTATTGATACATTCAAAGAGTCATTTTAATATCTATAACCGATGCTAACCGCGTCGAGTCACACTCGACATCCGAGTGCAAAGGGTTAAGAACTGTCTCTTGAATAGGCCAATACGCATAGGAAAAGGCACTTAAGATCACTAGTCAGTAGGGCAATGCAAATCAAAACCACAAGGAGACACCACCTTATACCCATTAGGATGGCTATTATTTAAAAAAAAAATAAAACAACAGAAAATAATAAGAGTTAGTGATGATGTGAACGGTGGTGACGGCCGTACCCACAGTGTGACTGCACTTAAGGCCACTGAACTGTACACTTAAAAATGATTATGATAAAATATATGTGCATTTTACAATTTTTAATAAAGAATTGCTTCACCTAAAGTAACAAAAGCACCCCCTGGAAAGATACTGCTAGACCACCCAAAATGGTCACCCATGCACATATTTGGTTATAAGAAGTTCATTCACACTTTGGTTATAAGAAGTTCATTCGTACTTGCCAGGCCTAATTTGACTAGTGCGTTTGTCACACTTATCTAGTTTTTTTCCCCCTTTGTCTCAGTTGAGAAAGAAACTTTTAAAATTAGGCTACCTTTAGAATTAGGCTAAGAAACACCACCACGAAGCCAGAACCACAGAGATGGATCGGAAGGAACCCCACTGTTAACCTGAGATGCCTTTAGCTTCATGGAGTTCTATTTATTTATAATCAATAATTTCTAAATCGCTTCTCTTAATCGGTAAAATCACCCAACGGGCAACACCTTGGGATTCCCAGCTTCAAAGTGTACGTTCAGATTTCAGCAGGGAAGCGGAAGAGAAAGCTCCTACCTTGTAGATGCAGGACTTGGCGTTCAGAAAGAAGAGCTCGATGGTGGCGTTATCCTTCAGGTACGAAATGCTCTCTATGTAGAACCTGAAAGGCAAAAACTGAGCGTGAACCACAGGTGCAGCGGGACCACCGATCAGCTGTTCTCTTGAGCTGCAGGACTTGGGATGCCAACTGGAACGCCCAATCCTACATGAGCAAAAGAGGAAGGGGTCATCAACTGCTTTTCTATGATTCCTTTTCGAGGGCAAACTGCCCTCCAGGTTCCTCTACAGTGGCTCAGGACTGCCTTCCCCGACAGCCCCCACCAGAGCCAAACAAGTCTATCTGCCACCAACCTGGAAGCCCAGACTCGAAATCCGACCGGGCTACTTTTTTCCTTTCCCTGCTTTCCAATTTCTCAGAATGTTATTTGTTTTCATTACCACTGCTTGTTTTGTCCTAATCGTTGCTGAGTTGGATTTTTCAAAGATAATTTCTTCTGCTTAATCACACGTCTCTTTCAAATCGTTTGCTACGTGTCTTCCTGGGGGTGGCGAAGTGTGATTTGATTTCTGCACATCCAGAGAGCTGGGGTGAGCGTTCCCGCCGTGAGATATTAATGCGCATCAAGCCAAATGAGGATTGGATTTCTATCCAGATGGAGCTTATGGATTTTTCCCCCCCGAGATGAAACATGCGGACGTTGTTTAGGTTTACACTAAACGCGCCTTTACACATCGACTTCCGAGTTTATTAAATTCTTTAACGAGATGATGTGCTTGTACTGTCTAAGGACCGGCCACACTACAGGAGCGAAACAGGGGGTGGGGGGTGGTTGAGATGAGGCTTCTTGAAGGAGGAGAAGAAGGTTCTGGGCGGTGGCAACCATGGACCGGACTGGGAGGGCACTGGGTACCGGGCTCCTGGAAACCAAGTGTACCAAGAGGAGGCAGAAGGTGAAATGACAAGAAACAAGCACTATGACCTAGAACAGCACTAGGATCTGGCCGCAAGACTCCTGGGGAGAGAGTCAAAGACCAGTGACCTAGAACCATCTCTTTGTGACTTAGGGCAAGTCACATGATCTTGCTGGGCTTCTGTTTTCTAGACTGTAACAGAAGACAGTGGGACTAGGGCAGTGGTTCACCACCTAAGAAGTCCATTGTTTTTTAAATATGGGGAACTAACTCAAATTACAACAACAGCAACAGCAAAAATAACCAGCCAACACTGCATAAGGCAAACAGAACGTGTCTCCGGGCTAGGTCAAGACCATGGCCTACCGGTTTGCCACCTTTTGTCTACAGACTAAATAATTAATGTCTTCTGTCATTTTTCAAATGCATGCAGAGGCTGCTGTGTTCAATACAGTACCCGTTCACTTAAATTCGTGAGGGAATCCAGAGTAACCTCAGACATCGGTAGGTTTTCTCAGTCCACAGATATTATTAGCATAATTACCATCATGTCAGGGTTTGTAATTCTCAAGGGATTACAAAGTGGCCCTTACACTTGCAAAGCCTGGGAACGAGCAAACTAGTGGGGTCACCTTCCACACGCCCTGCGTCCCCAAGCAAGCACACGCCTCCTGCTTTTGGAGAAGTGTTTTAGGCAGGGACGCCAGCATACACCTCCGCCATGGCCTCAGAGGTAAAGCTGTACAACTTCCAGTTCTTTAATGATAGAAAAACTGAAAGGCAGAAGCACATGTTACATCTCAAAGCAAAATAAATGAAGCTTGATTTAATGTTTTAAAGTGAATCCATATCCTTTACAAAGAGCCTTTGGCAAAGGGTAATAAGAATAACAAAATAAGTGGAAGGAAGGAAAGAAGGAAAACAGAGCAGGGAGAGGAGGGGGAGGGTAACCCTAATATCAGAACATTAGCAGGGGCCTCCTGAGGTCGACGGCAACCTCAGTACTCTAATAATAATTTTGAATCTAAATCTGTAGGGTCTGAAATAATTTTACTGGCAGCACCAGCCATTTTTATTTCATTTGCTTTCATTCTTAAGAATATAGGAGTGAAGATATTCTACATCCCACCCATGCCCTCATCCCAATTTTCTCCTACATAGTGTATTAAAAAACAGAACCCTTCTCTTGTCTTTGCAACTCTCTCGTCATGGAAAACTGAAATGAGGCAGCAAATGACACATCTTTGGGGACAGCGTTCACTTCCACTGGGCTATGTCTCCTGGCCCTAACAGGGGCACAGGAGACCCAGGAAATAACACGCTTATTTTGAGATGAAGGAAAAAAGAAAATCACCTCCTTTACACAGAATTGGAAAGCGGTTTCCTGTTCTCACCGAGACAACACCTGGAAACCCTGGGAGTTCCGGGCCTGTCCTGTTATTGTTTGCTACACTCGGATATTTAGCTCATCCTGAATTTCCAGCCACCGACTCAGCAACGCCTGGAGAGAAACAGACCTCAGACACCTCCATGTGCACAGGGAGAGAGGCACGGTCACACCGGGGCCCAGGGAGACGGGGAGTGTTGATGGTTTGGAGTCAGAGTCAAGATTTTCCTTTCTTTTTCAAAAATTCAGTCATTTTTCTGATTTTCATGAGTTCCTCCTCTCTGGCAGTAGGGGGCGATGTTGCATTTCCGTAACGAGCGGTGTGGGGCAGGGAGGGTTCCCGTAGTTCACAAAGAACATTCCAGGTCTCTGGGAAAACCCAGGGAAACGAATGCTCTTGGAGTCTGAGGGTCTGCACGGGCGATTCCAAGCCTGGTTCTGTCTTAACCGTGTCTGTAGGGTGCTTTGACATCAGGGGCCCTGCCGTCCTTGGAGGGACTGTCCGGCCAGAGTTGGCCAATTCCTGGAGACAGCAAACTGCTCCCCAGGGAGGACGGCTTCCGAGTGCGACCCACTGGCTGTCCAGAGCCCACCCTCCCTCCCAACACCCTGAGGGGCTGTCACACCCAGGGCCACTGTTCCCCGGCCCCAATCACTGTAGGAACACGTACCAGACGACTAGGGACAGCCCTGTGCCCCAGAGCCTGCTGAAATCATTCAAACCAGCCAATCCTGGGTCTGCCTCGCCTTCCCACGGAAACCGCAATACAGGCTCCCGTCCACACTCGCCCTCACTCCCTCTGGCTCCTCTCTGTGTTGTCCTATGTGGCGTGGCATGGCGTGGCGTGGCGCGTGGCGTGGCATGGATTGGCGTAGTGTGGCCCGGCCCCTCCCCTTCCAAACTGTAACAAACTATCTTTTCAATGGCAGTCCTCTCCTGACCGGCTGGCCTCACCACAGCTGAGTAACAATAAAACCTGTATTTTGAAACAGGCTTTTCTGCACATCGAGCAGGGCTAAATAGTAGGGTATCTTTCTGAGTTAAAAGGAACAACCCTCTAGACCGAGGGCAACTGCAGCTAAGAGGTTCCTTCACTCCAGATCGGAGCAATGTCACGCTCAAGCCATCGCAGATGATCCAGGCCTGAGGACGTCTTGTCCAACCGTGTGTAGTAGGAGCGAGTATGTGCTCCCTGCTTGCATGTTTGTTTGTTTGTTTAAGACAAGGTCTCGCTCTGTCGCCCTGGCTACAGTGCAGTGGCATCATCACAAGCTCACAGCAACCTCAAACTCCTGGGCTCAAGCGATCCTCCTGCCTCAGCCTCCCGAGGAGCTGGGACTGCAGGTGCACCACCACACCCGGCTGATTCTTTTTTTTATTTTTTGTAGACACCAGCTCTCACTTTTGCTCAGGCTGGTCTCGAACCCCTGACTTCAAGGCACCCTCCCGCCTCGGCGTCCCAGAGTGCTAGGATTATAATCGTGAGCTGCTGTGCCCCGGCCCCTGTATTACATGTTTGAGCCTATTAAATATTCAAGAGGCTTTGCCCGGGTGTGTGTGGGGGAGTGTCCTCCCCTTCTTTGACTCGTGGACGCCCCCGACTGTGACAGACCGAGCCCTGTCTAGTCAGATGGCGACGGCCCAGCCAGACAGCATCAACCCTGCCTCCTGCTCTGCTGCCCCAGCGCCTTTGCTCCTGGGAGGCACTGCGTATTTACAGCGGGTGTTAATTAAATGGCCCAGTGATTTCATTTCGTAACGAACACAAATGTCACATTTGAAATGCTGACTTTTGGTAGCAAAGAAAAAAAAAAAAAAGAGCATTACTATAATAATGAGAACAATAAGCTGTGAGTTTCTGCAGCCAGAATCTCTGGCGTTTAGAACGGCAATGGCTCTAAGATCTTAACTGGGACGCTCCAGCTGAAATATAGCAAGCTGTGGGTAGCAGCCACCTCGTTTTAGATCCGTGCCATCATTGTTATTGTGAGCGGCAGGAAATAGCAGCTGCTGTCTCAATCAGCCAGGGAAGACACGGAGAGTCAGGCCCAGGGACTCCACCGCACAACCTCCCTCCAGATAAAGCTTCCTGGCATCTCCCCTCTTTCTTATTTTTCTACTGCCTGCTTCGGTTTATTGTTTGTGAAACCCGGACAAATCTAATCTCTATTTATTTTCCTGCAAACGCTACAGATGATCAGAGCTACGGGGACACTTGGCTGAAGAAGACACAGTTAAAGGAACAGCCCAGACACGAACACAACCTTACGAGCGCAAACTTGTGCCTGTAAACACACACACACATACACACACACACACACGACACACACACACACGACACACACTTCCTTGGGTGGGTAGGTCTATTGTGCTTATATTTTTTTCTTGACCTATTTCGTAATCTTGCCTGGTCATTGTTCTCCAATGTGGGGAACCTGCCTTATGGCCCTAAACAATGGTGTGTGGCTGAAAATGACCCTGGTTGTCAACTGACCCCTGGCTGTGGACACAGCCTGGGTGGGCGAGGGGCGAGGGGGTGGGGAGGGACAGGGCTGGACGAGTGGGCAGAAGTTGCGTCGCACGTGACATGCAAACGACGTCCTTTTCGTTTCTGAGGCTCACTGAGAGCCAGAAGAAAAAGGGTGCAAAGATCAGCTGAGAATCTCAGAAGAGGCGCGCAGTGTCTAGGGGACATCGGAAGGCACGAGGACCGGAAGCAGAGATGAACGGGCAGGTTTCAGGTCCGAGAGGGTTTAGGGGGGCCCTAATGATAGCCGAGGGGTACACGGAGAGCAAGGGGTGGGTGTCGGAGCCATCGAAGACACAGAAACCATCGGAAGTGGTGACGGAGAGAACAGGAGGGAGGTCAAGGCTGGCTCCCTGGTGTCCGGCCCAGGGGGCTGGGTGGGTGGTGGCACCCAATGTGGGGATGGAGAGAGGAGCCCATCTGGGGGCAGAAAGATGATGTTGTCATTAGATCCTGAGTGCTGCATCCGTGTGCGTGTGCCCGTGAGCAGAGGTGGCCCGGAGACGGGGAGAGAGGTTAGGACAGGGTCAGAGGGCCAAGAGGGCCGGGAAGCTCCAAGAAGAGCAGTGCTAGGATTCATGGGTGGGGTGAAATCGCACCTTGGGAGGGTAAGACAGAGATGACAAGCGAGAGGAGACGTCGTGGACATTGGCGCTCATGGGTGAACAGAGCAGGAAGCCCGGGACAGAGGGACCCAGGAGGAGGTGGACCAGGAGAGCTCAGAGCCACTGAGCCACGCAGGACTCGGGGAGCATGTTCAATTGAGGCCAGGGCCACAGGGGCCACGTGGAATTGGGGTCTAGAGGCCTCTAGGGACCAGGGGTATAGTGGCACCAGAAACTGCATGACCACAGACTCAGGGACCAGGGACATGTGGGGAGGATGTGCACATTTTTGGGGAAAAACACTTCCCTATCAATCTCAACACGCCCCAAACTTTCCTATAAGGGCCTGGGTTCCCCAAACCCACAAATAACTCACAGCAGACTCTTGGAAATGAAACCACCTAATATGCAACCAAGCGCAGTATCTTCTCTTCCTGGTTAATGTGGGGGGGGGGACCACCAGGGAGAAGGGGAGAGGCTGACGGGAGGTCAGTGTACCGACCCCCCCTGCAGCCACGGGTTAACAAGCTGCTTCAGCGTGACCACCTGCCCCTCCTGGTGCAATCGGTGTTCTTTGCTGTCTATGGTCACTTTCCCGTTGACCCGAGAAACCTCTGACCCCATTCAAGAGAACATGGCAACGCGATCATTCCCAGCAGTGATAGAAACGGCATATGTTCGCAGCTGGTAAGCAAATCAAAAACGCATCAAAGGCAAGTTTGAACTGACTCCGCCAGTGGAGGGGAAGACACACGCCCCAGCCTCTTTGGCGGACTCTTGACTCTTAGGTTCCTCGCCCGTGCTCTCTAGGAGGAACCGAATTGCACGTGCTTTGTGTCCTACGCCTGCATTGCTGTTAGCTATGCACTGGGCGGAAGTGTTCATGTCCATGTGAAGACTCAGGCGTCAGAACTCCGATGCTTCTGCAACTGGGTAGCAATCAAAGTTCTAGAAGATAGAACCTGCTGGGTCGACAGACCGAGTACTCAGGGTGCTGCGGGAGCTGAGGGCTCAGATTATGACCTTGCTCCTGAGTCATACTTTTGACCCTGAAGCCCTGCCCTGACTTGCTCCCACCGCCTTTTGCAAACAGAAGTGACAAGACCCGCTTTCTTCATAAGACTGCTGCAAATGCTGACTCTTTGAAGCCCTAGATCCCAAAGGCAGTTCCCTCTGCAATCACAAAATCAAATTTCTTAGAGTAGATTCATGAGCAGAAAATGCCCAGGATTTCTGATCTATTATCTTTTATTTTATTTTGCTCAGAGAGGCCAAGAAGAATCTGATACGTTATTAGGCCACCTTCTCCCTTATCAGGAGATATCCTGATCCGTGGTTTGAGGCTGGTTTTCAACGACTCCTATTTTTGGGATAAAACACACAAATTTCAAGAGATTCAAGCAGCATTTCTGATAGAAAGAAAGAGGGCAGAGACATTTGTTATGTAGCTTCAAACTGCCACTAAAAAAGGATCCCAGGGCATGAGCTATATATGATAAGAGACTCAGTTTAGTCTCTTATGACACCCCCCCCCCAAGAAAAAAAGCAAGAAAAACAGAAAGGTTTCTATGTTCATTCCACATGAGCATCATAGTGCAAGCGCACAAACATATGCCAATCGACGCACACAAACCCACGAGCCTTACACACTCACGCCCCGCATCTGTATCTACGAGGAATTCAGCTAAACAATGACCTTTCTCCCTGGCAATGACCTAAGACAAACCTGACCTGCCTTCCCCTTGAATCCTTCCTTCCTGCCCTCCCCAACTTTTCTGACACAGAACAAAAGCAAAAACGCAGACACACCAGGTGTACGTACCTGACACAGAAGTATAAAACCACGGGTCCTGACTTTTTAGGGAAGTCATGTTCCAAAACTCTCCGATCTAGTTGAAGCCAGTTTAAGTGCCCCCTGAGGAAGATAAAGACAAATGGGTTAGGGCTTTGGATTTTGCAGAGGCTTTTTGGGATGAGGGGTCTACGTGGAATGGAACGCTCCAGATTGCAGATAAATTCGGACCTTCCCCCCAGCGCTATTAGCTTTTGGGGATTTGAAGACCCTAAAGGAATTAGCTAGGGGATACTGGAGCAGCAGGAGACTTGGGTCCCCCTGAGTGGGAAGAAAAGGCATCAGAGAGTCCTTTGCTGTCTGTTTGCACCCACATTAAAACTAAACCACACGGAGTATCTCCAATAATCACACTTCCACCTACCGTATGACCCAGCCTGTCTGCACCCAGGAAACCTGAACACATCTGTCCCCACAAAGACTTTTGCACAAATGTTCACGGACGCTTAACGGACATTTCACAGCTACAGTCACAGCCCCCAACTTGAAACCACCCAGATGTTCACCGACAGCAGAATGGACAGACACACTGAGTTGCATCCGTACAACGGAATACCGTGCAGCGATTAGAGAACATGCTATTGAGATATTAAACACGAGGCCTGTCCGGAAAGTCCCCAGCCGTGCCCCCATTCTTGTTATATTTAACAATTAAATGGCTGGATACTTTCCGGACAGCCCTTGTAATCTATAGCAACATGACGAACTGCAAAATAATTATGCTGAGTGCAAGGAGGCAGATAAAAAAAAAAAAAAAAAAGCCAAGTACAGACTGTAGGATTCCATTTACGTAAAGCTCTAGGAAACGCACACTGATTACAGCGATAGAAGGCAGACCGGTCATTGCCTGGGGCGGGGCTGAGGGGTACAAGAAGAAACGTTTGGGGAGGGATGGATGTATGCACCACCTTGACCGTGGTGATGGTTTCCATGGATGTGGACATGTGCCCGATTTTATCAGATTATACACTTTAAGGTATGTGGTTTATTGCATGTCAATTACGCCTCATTAATGCCATTTAAAAAAGTGAACCACAGAGATACCGATGATGTAGGAATGGAGTCGCTGATGCATTTCTTCCTTCCTTCCCTCCCGCCCTCTGTCCTTTCCTTCCCTACACGTTCCCCGGCCACCTTCTCTCTAAAGCGACTGGGGACGGGCAGCCGGCAACACGCACATAGTCTCCACTCCTGGAGCCGAAACACTTGTCAGGAGACAGACACTCAACACCCACGTCCACGATGAATGATGTAATTGCTAATGGCATTAGGATGAGTTAGGGGGACATAGAAGGGGGAGCTGATCTAGTCTGGGGGTCCAAGAAGCACTTCCTGGTGTTTGAGCTGAGATTTGAAGAAAGAGCAGGAAGTAACTCGGCGAAGAGAAAGGGGAACCACTTTCCAGGCAGAGAGGCCAGCACGTGCAAAGGCCCTGAGGTAGGGAGGAAAGGGGTGAACGCAGAGAGAGCACTGGAGGCTACGCCAAGGAGGCTGGTCTTGGAAGGGTGAGGCAGAGATAGGGAACAACTGTGAGCAGAGGAATCCACTCCTCTCTTACCAATCCCATTCCACAGCCTGGAGGGAACAGAGTCCTAAAATCACTTTACTGAGCAAACTCACACTGCACAGACCCAATGGACCTCACTACATTTCCCCAGGCGGCCGACGCTGTGTGACACCCGTGTTTATAATGCACACACGTGTGCAAAAGGCTAGCACTTGCTCTGTGGATAATAAGGAACAAAATCTGCCTGCATCATTATCTAAAAATGTTTGCTCCCCCAAGCCCATGCTCGCTTCCAACAAAGCAAAGAGAGAGAACACATTAGAGGCTTCCATCCCCTCTTTTTGAGACTTTACCCAAAATGCACCTGTCACACAAGAAAATAAATCCCACCCAGGGAAGCCCAGGCCTGTGGCTGTCAGGCTGGTGATGTTTGAGTCTGCCTCATAGGGGTGCCTGCCTGCGCAACTCCCGCCTCTTTTTCTTCCTTTTAACAATCTCTAGCTGGGGAAAAAAATTTTTTTTTTCCTTTAACTTAATGTTTTTCTTGCCTTGCTCTGAATACAGGAAGGGCACAAAAATAAAAGGAAGATGGTATTTGTAAGTAAAATGACCAGACCCACCACCCCACGCCCACCTGTGTCTCTGCACTTCCCAGTTTCCAGAACTTACTCTGTGGATGCATTCGTTTTTCCCCAACTGCCTTTTTCCACCTGGCCTGGCAGATGTCAGGAGATCTATCTCATAAGGTAAAAGTGTGCAGGTTCGATCAACTGACTGGAAGGTGTCAGACAAATTATGAGAAGCTACAGCCACTCCCTTCCTGGCTCTGAAAATGCGCCCAAACTCTCAGGGTCCTCTCTTTGGGCTCAGCCTCTCCTTGACATGCCACATGCACGTTCTACACCATGGCTGTGCTCACTGAATCAGAGAATTGTCTCTATCCTCTTTATTTGAACATGCAGCCACTGTTCAAGGCTGAGTCCATGCCCAACTTTTGTTCCCTGACTGCCTAAGTCCGGGGTTTCTTTCAAACTTCTCCAGAGCTCCTGGTTTGTGTTGTCTACAAGGCATTTGGTGTCATCTCATACAATGAGTTAATATTTTAAAACTATGACCTGTCTCCTCAACTAAATTGTAAGTTTTCACCGTTTAAAACAATTATCCCCACAATCTAGCACAGTGCCTAGCAAATATGAGGTGCTCAAAAGAAGGGTTTGTTCATCGACTGAATGATGGATGACCCACGAGAGTGATCCATCCCACGACCAGGGATATTTAAATATTCATCTTGTGCCTTTACAATATGTCTTGACAAATGGCTTGGTGGGATCCACCTTTACATCATTCTCACAAGAGAAATCTCCAGATCACTCACAGACTAGAACAGCACAAAAAGCACAGGACTTTTTTCCAGCACCATGTTACTGACCACACAGCCTGCTGGGGATTAGACTCGGATCTCTGAGCCCTGCCACTCACACGGGAAGAACCGTAAGGTGGGGACATGTTGCAAGGAGAGCCAGAGACAGGTGTCACTTGGATCCCACTTTGTTGGATTTGCCAATTCTTCACTCACGTTCACAGACCACATAGGTGTATTCCCTCTCTACACGATTGCATTCCTCACATTAAACTTCTTAAATGAATGACTTTTTAAGCAATGGGTTTAACTGGAAATTCCTTTGTTTCTAGCCATATACTGGTTTAGCATTTATCAACTAAATGACCAGAAAAGAAAAAAAAATGACCAGGAAGAAAAGAGAACGAGGAGGCTGGAATAGAGCCCCTGAATGGAATAGTCGGCCCCTGAGGACAAGTGACTTTCCTTTCTCCATGTCCCCTGCTGAACTCTTCCTCTCCAACTCTGCGAGGGTGGCGGGACACACGAGCTGGCCTGGCTCCGATGTCCGATGGGGAGGAGGACTTTCCTACACCCGGAGCCCTTGCACCCTGTGGGTGTGTGGGGCGGGGGCAGGCGGGAAGGAAGTTGGCTCTTTCCATGCTCTGAATTTGTAAAAGTGTCTCACCAAAGGGACAGACTGAAGGGACAGGTGATTCGTCCAAGGTCCCTTATGATAACTGCCCATATTTGGACTAAAAGATAGATTAAAAAGCACGCTGGGCATCTACCCAAAGGAAAAGACATTCTATAAAGAAGACATCTGCACTCGAATGTTTATAAGCAGCACAATTCACAATTGCAAAGATGTGGAAACCACCCAAGTGCCCATCAATACATGAGTGGATTAATAAAATGTGCTATATGTGCACCATGGAGTTCTACTCAGTCACAAAAAACAATGGTGGATCTTGCACCTCTTGTATTATCCTGGATGGAGCTGGAGCCCATTCTACTAAACTAAGTATCACAAGAATGGAAAAACAAGCGCTACATGACTACATGTACTCACCATCAAGTTGGTTTTAACTGATCAACACCTAAGTGCACATATAGTAGTAACATTCATCAGGAGTTGGGTAGGTGGGAGGAGGGAGGAGGGGATGGGTAAATACACACCTAAGGGGTGCAGTGTGCACCATCTGGGGGATGGACATGCTTGCAGCTCTGACTCGGGTGGGGCAAAGGCAATATATATAACCTAAACATTTGTACCCCCGTAATACGTTGAAATAAAAAAAATAAAATAAAATAAAAAGCATCATAAAGAAGATGAAAAAAAAAAGCACACTGGAAACTATCATAGAATCCTGGGGCCCCTATGCTTGGCTGCAGTAGGACTTGTTAAAATGTTATTTTCTCTTCAAGTTGGACTCAAAGTCACCGTTTCCTGCACCCAACCAGGGTCAAGAATTCCACATTGCAGAGGGCCTTTTCCTTCCTATTTAACAGTTCACGGTCCTGACTTGGAGGGCCTCCCTCTGAACTTTCATTTTTTTCCCTTTGCATTGGGGTGGGAAGGAATGCCAAGAGATGAAGGAGTATTTCCTCTACACAGTTTAACTAAGAGACACCCGGGAGCTTGGTTTCCAATGATCCTCATTGATTTTTCGTTTGAGATCTCACATTTCAGCGCGTTTGCCAGTAACAATGCAAAAAAGCACTCCGGCAGACAGAGCATTTTTGCTATTGCGGGACTGGTAACTATCCTTAGGGCTGGGCGAGACAACACTCATTTGGTTTATGGTGGTAGTGGGTCAAAAATGTCAGGTCAGTAATAAATATGCAGTTGCTTCCGGGCAATAGAAATTGGATGCGTTTATTTGACTGATTGCTTTTAGCGTCTACATTGAAAACAAATAGACTTTTAGTTCAAGTGTTGGCACCCTCCCTCAGGATGGCCCCGGGGAGAGCTTTGTTTGTAGTCACTGGAGGGTGGAGGAGTGTGATGAGTCTATCTGAGCCCACACTTCCCAGACCGGGCAGGGGGGGAACCATGCTGCCTGCCTTTTGGATGTTTTTATTGCAGACGGGTTATTTCATATGAAACTTCTACAGAAAGCCAAAACAAGAGTATGAAATTCTTACAGATGCTGTCGGATACAGGTGGGGTTGGGGGCTCTTTGAATGGAAGAAATGTTTAGCCATTCAGTGTCC